AATACCGAAGGAATAATTTCAATATTGATGGCAATTGCACTTCTACGACAATATCCAGAGGCTAAACCTCCACCTCCACTATATTCAAATTCAAGGATCACTTCGATGACCTGAAGAAAGCGATAAGTATGAATAAAAATTATTTTCACATTACGTTTGGAGACACAGTGCTTTTTAAAGGTTGGAGTCTTCAATCAGTCCAGATGATATGATTGCAACCGGCGTAAATTGACTTTTGTCAACGTTACGGATCATTGTAATTAATTTTTAATTGCCTGGAAACCAACTGGCTAAAATTGGTAACTGTTGTGAAAAATTAAATAACCTTGGTATTAAAATTTTTATTTCATATTAAGCAATGATTCAGTTGTTTGCCATAGAAAGAAGTATCCGCCAAGTCTGATTGGTCTATTGCACCTACAGTGTAAAACAATTCAGATTTTAATCTAGTTTGTAAAAAACATTGAAGCTCAAATAAAATGAAATCTTTTGATTCATCGTCCAACGCAAAAGGAAATACTGTACATTGAAATTTATTGATTGAATTTTTCCATCAACATGCAGCTTATTGTCCGCCACTTTTCTAATTTAGACCGACCTATTTAGAGACATAGACCGTTTATCGATTAGTAGTGACCTTAAGAAGCTTTAGTAAAGCCACTTTTAAGTTTAGTTTCAACTAAAGACGTTCAAAATTAAGTCGTTTAATCTTAAGTCGAAATTACTAATGAACAACTTTGCCACTTGGTGTCAGTAGCTTGTATCAACAAAACATCAAAACAATCTATCATTTTACCTCCATTCTTAGTTTTGAAAATATTTTCATACTTCTTGTTTCAAATTGTGTGTTACTTCTATTTATTTTTTAGTGAAAATGAACCAACCAAATAAATTGTTTTCTGATTTAGTTAAAGAAGTTTACTTTGAAGATGTGCCCTCGAAACGATCCAGGGAAAACTACAAAAAAGAAAAAGAATTGGATGCTTTACGAAAAGCTGGTAAGGTCCCAGCTCTTATTGATGAAGACGGAAAAGAAATCAACCCGCACATTCCTGAGTATATTGCTTCAGCTCCATGGTATATTGGATCAAGTGTGCCCACTCTTCGACATCAAAAGGCAACGAACACTGCGGAAAATCAATCAAGTTTAAATGACTGGTATATTAGAGGAAAAAGTGAGCAACTTGCAACAAAATACCGACCAGGAAGCTGTGAAAATTGTGGAGCTATGGGACATACTCGCAAGTTCTGTTTCGAGAGGCCGAGAAAGATTCCAGCTAAAGTGTCCGGCGTTGTAATTGCACCTGATGACCCGGTTTTACCTAATTTAAAATTTGATTATGATGGCAAGCGTGATCGCTGGAATGGTTTCCAGCCCCAGATTTACCAATCAGTTATTGAAAATTATAAAAAACTCGAGACATCAAAAAAAGTGTATAAAGAGTCCCTACTAAAAGACGAGCTGGATACTAAAACAGAGGAGGAAGAAGAAAAATATGCTGATTTTTTAGACATGCCAGGAACAAAGGTAGACAGTAAACAAAGAATTACTGTAAGGAATCTACGGATTCGAGAAGATACAGCGAAATATCTGCGAAATTTGGATCCTGATTCTGCTTACTATGACCCCAAAACACGGTCCATGCGTGGAAACCCATACGAAAATACTGGAAAAAATCCATCTGATTTACCTTATACTGGCGAAAATTTTCTTCGTGGAACTGGAGACACATTAAAAGTATCTCATGTACAATTATTTGCCTGGCAAGCAAGAGATAAAGGAGCTGAGTTTCATCTTCAAGCTGAACCTACAAAAACTGCAATTGCCCATCAAAAATATGAGACGGAAAAAAAGAAACTTAAAAGGACAATTGAGCAAAGTATTCTGAATAAGTATGGTGGTGAAGAATATCTGCAGCAGCCACCCAGAGAATTGATTTTCGGTCAGACCGAGCAATATATTGAATATTCGAAGGATGGAAAGGCTAAAATAGAACCATCCAAGGTAATAATCAAATCATCAAAATATAAAGAAAATGTTTATATAAACAATCATACCTCTGTTTGGGGTTCATATTATGATGTGAAAAATCATAAATGGGGCTACAAATGCTGTTCATCAACAATAAAAAACTCTTATTGTTTGAAATAAATATAAAGACATAAATAAAGATTTTTGACATAAACATTTTTGAGAATACATTGATATTCAATTTTGTAAACAAAAATAATTTAGATAAAATAAAAATAATTATTTGCAGCAATTATGAACTTTTCTTTGACTCCACAGGTTTTTCTCCTTCTCCTGCTGTATTAGCGGTTGTTGTCGGTTTTTCTCCGTTTTTATCTTTTAAACCTTCTTTCTTTTCCGCATCCCGATTGGTTATCTTGTTGTTGATTAGGTTATGTAAGGCTATAACTGATCGTACTAATGATGCCAAATAAACCACCAACATCTGATCATTTGTTTTTACATACACGGATTTGACAAAAGTTTCACTCATGGTATCTGGTAGGAGATTGAAAATATCTTGTAACAGGTAGATAATTGCATTGTGCGAGGAAGTT